TTTGTGCTTGCAAAATAATTTAGAGCCGACGACTAATAAGCATACAGAAATCAAACATATGTATTCGCCGACTTCTCTGCATTCTTCCGTCCTCTTCCTCATCGCTGATGCAGAATCATGCCCCACTTCATAGAACGAGCACGAATAGGATCCTTCCCAGGGTAGCATTCGTAGGTAGCGCTCATACGAACGTGCCACATTTCCATCAGTATTCGTTAGCTGCACTCGCACATACTATACCGGAGGAAGAAGGTTCAGTTCGAGGAAGACATTCCTTGCTATCTTATCCTTAGTACAGAGAGCACCCTCTCTAACATTTAGGGCAAGATAGTATGTGAGCGACTCATTTGGAGCGTTTAGATAAGGACCGGTATATATTGTACACTCCACACCTCCTGCCCATAGCTGCTCCATCCCCACGGCGAGGTAAAGATCTCCATTACCATTGCTCTGGACCGTTTCGTTGGACCGCTGCAGGCCACCTCAGGAATAATTCAACAAACTACACCGATACACTGGCCACCAGTTATCACAGCAGTGAAACACGGGTTCGGGGAAGGCACGCGAGTCCGTGGTGTTCATCTGCTCCTCCAGGGCTTAGTTCACAGGGGCAGCCACTCTTTCGCCATGATGTGGCAGTTTCAAAATACGCGTCATCGGTGACTGAGCCTTGGTAGAGCAGACGAGAACAGCGCCGTGGCCCCACGAACACGAGTTTCACCCAGAAGTACACTTCCTGACTTAAAGGCACGAGTCGGGATTGAATTGATGCTTTATTTTGTTCAAACATTAGGCAAGGGGTGCAATGAGGAACATTAGTGAGGAGAAAAAGCAAAAAGCACCATAGAAAACACTAAATTTCCCTTAGGAGGCCGGCCGTAGTACGACGGAGAGACACAGCGCTGCGAGGAGAGGGAGAACGCGAGATAGTACGTCGTACGCGAGAGGACGCAGAGACCACGTATGCCGTGGTTGATAACGCTGGCAGCACGGCAGCACACAATGCAGGGTCGGTGCCTCGAACTTTTGACAGTCGACAGTGTCGCGCCCTCAGTGCTTGGGGAGCCCATCATTGCACTCTGTTAAGAGCTTCGGGTGATTGCCTAATCCTGACCCGTAGCTTTAAACTTTCGATAAGGTCGGTCGTGATATCATTGAAAAAGCAGCGCGCAGGGAAGCGAGAATACGCTAAGGAGCACGCCGTACGAGAAGACGCAGAGAGGGACGCTGCCCGGACGCTGACATGGCTCATGACCGCTTGTCTAGCACCTTGTCGCCCACTTTCGAGCTGTGCGAATGGTGCCTAGGAACCTTTTTCTAACAGCTCTGTTTCAACCAAGTTACTACAGTGTCTCATCCCGGAATAAGCCTTTAGGTGCGATGAATCCTTTTTCCTGGGTATAAAGAAGCAGACCCCGTTTCAAAAATTTGTTTTCTTTTTTCTGTGTGCCGTAATGTCATGAAATGTAGGAGTAGGATGCGCAGTAAGGCAAAATACTATTTACTTATTTGCCTCATTAAATACAAAGCACTCCATGAACAGACAAAACTCGTGCTACTGATAAGACATGAACTTGAACGTAACTGGTTGTCGCGCCGGCATGGACGCCTTGCTCCTCGCATAAGCGGAGGAGCATCGGAGTCAACCCTGCTCAAGGAGTGGCGTCCATGTCGGCGTGAGGGTTACTAGCAGGGACTTACGCCGCGCTCGCTGCTCGCCACTATGCCAAGCGGACTCCTAGTAGGCCTGAGCAGCCCCAACTGGACGTACACTATGACCCACTACGAATCGCAATACCCGGGACTACGCCGTGATTTAACGTCTCACTGTTCCAGCTCTACGATGAATTGATAGCCTGGCCTACGTGCATCTTCATTACTAAGACCCACTCCCTGGACGTACGGCGAATCGAGACGTGAAGTGGTGACGACGGAGAACCAAGCGAACGATTACACTCGGCGAACACATAGACTGAAGGCAGGCAGAGGCGCCGGTGCTCTGCTTCTCTAGCGCTCTTCGCGAAGCTTCAACGGCACGAGCGCGCCAGGACCCGCGCGCACCCTACCAGGCGCGACCCCTCAGATGTGTCGTACGGAAGTCACGACACCGGTACACGGAGTCATTCATCCACGAAATTGAACAATTCGTAATGCCATGGTCTCATGAACAGTACCATACTGTCCAGGTGAGCAAAGTATTGATAGATGTGTGCTGGTATCCGTGTCTGTAATAGCCTGAAACTATCATACGACAGAGCTGTACGCTAAAGTCTTCAAAGGCAGCGATTACGATACAAGAAGGATTAGTGAGAATGCCGGGACGTATGAGCGAGTTCAGCGCAACGCGTTTGGTGGCACATGCCAATCCACGCTTCATCGAGTTGCTCAGTTGTGCCGCTGCTGGCAACGCAGCTCGTCCAAATCACCAAGTAAACTAGTGGGCGGATCGCTTTTGGGGCGGAGTGCTTTCGAAGTCCTGCTCAGCAACCAGCGCACCTTTCGTCGTGAAAGCGCCACACCTCGCTTCCCTGGCAGCCAAGTAAGCGATTCGTGTGGTGCATATGCTTCCGGTATGTGATCATGTGATCGTCTACCCAGGGTTCCTACACCCATGTGCCTAGGAAAGGATGCCCATACCCCAGTTCAGGACCATTTCCTTGGACCACAGCAGGCCGAAATCTGAAAGCACCTCAGGAGTACTTCCACACTACACCGGTCCTTATCAGAAGTAATTAATGAATCGATTACGTGTCATGAAAACTCTTATCCTTATCCTTAGTATTGGAGAGCACAATGAAGTACCCCCCCCCCCCGAAGTGAACTTTACCCTTTGAGAATTAGTAGGAGGTTGATAGAGTGTTTCGGCACAACACGACTTGCATAACAATATGAGGCGGCTCTTGATAGTAAATTTGGGTAAAAAGTGGCTGATGAGACAAAATGCAAACTCTGCAACAAACGATCAAAGGAGCCCTTTATCGTGGACCACTACTACTGGCTCTGAGGCCACACAACTTTACAATTTAATAATTCGTCAAAGGAATCCGCTGAAAGTAGTGGTTCGGCTTGCACCGGCTGAGGTTTCGGTGTTGTCGCCTTCTTCAAGCTTGGAAGGACGAGAAGCCTTTCGAAACTACCCAGCCTAGATTCATGAACAGCGAGTATTTCATTCGACAAGGATACGAGAAGTTATTGCAAAGATAGTGGCCGTGGACTCACTAGGATTACGCGCCCGCAGCGTCTGGAATCAGTTGCCAACGCTGACGCTAAGACAAGAGTTTTGCCTGCTGAAGAGTTACCACCTCTGTGCACCACACTGAATAGTATTCCTACATGCGGTGACTGGGCCGATGAAGTCGACCGGAAAGGCCGAAAGCGTGCGAGGGCTGGATGTTGGCATTATGGCGCCTGAGCGCCGGTGAGTGTAGGATTAGGCAGTTGCAAACGACAGGAAGCAGACGAAAGAACCGCCGACAAGACATAGGACAATGTCGAAACCGGCTTCGCCTGTCTACAGACAAGAGAATGAAAGAGGGAGGCTTTCGGGGGAGAGCCACGCTCTGCGCATAGACGATTTAGACCGAAATATGCCAGTACGCGTCATCGGTTTGATACGGGGCAATCAACCTAGCTGCTCCGCAACCCGAGTGATAGCAGAATCACAACCAAGCACCACACAGCACAATGATACAGAGATGCGAGGTGGCGAGACTCGACGAATTTAGGAGTTGAAACGGGAGACGGCCAAGAACCAAGCGCAAAGGCACGGGGGAAGAGATCGGCTAGTAAAGTAGTGAGATTTGCCTTGGCCCGTAGTGAGAGGCCTTGAGCGCGGTAACGCAATCCGAGTTGGAGTGTTGACATTACCCTTCTGAGCGCATTCCTCGAAATACTTTAGTGATGCAAGAAGCCAATTCTAAGGTTGGTACACAAGTAATACCTGGCACCTGATGGCCGTTCCAGGGCGTCAACTGTGATGTACCTCGTACCACGTGCCTTGACGCGAGAGGAGTTCCCTAATTAGGGTGTACTCCGTGCGTGGAGCATTCCACATTTCGCAGTAGAAAGAGAACGTCGGCACTGGTTTCAAGACGGCTCAATTACTACGCAGGCAACGAAAACATGGAGCACTGAGCAAAAAATCTTCATTCAATAGATAACGGAAAACGTGAGCACAATGGCGAAAGTGACTTGATGTGGCAGGCAGCTGGAAGGAACATTCAACACGATAACTGGTAAGTATGGACGAGTTTTCTCTTACACATTCAATGACACACACTCGTATACGCAGTAGGGAGTGTTCATGGATATGATGTACATACAAAAAAAGAAACTGCTATGAAAATGCATCAGATCAACAAATAATAGTCATACATATATGTACTGGCTAGCAGTGAAGCACCGATTTGGCAGTAATGCCTATGATGGGAGCATTAGGATGAGGGATGGTAAGCGGATAAATATTTTCAAAAAATCGAAAATGATTTGTTGAAAGATCTCGCCGAACAAAAAATACAAATTGTCTCTACAATGGAATGCGATTAGAAGTATAGTGGCAGTGGAACTAGAATGTTGCGATTATAAATGTGCGTCCCCCTAAGGGCTATGTGGCGTTACTATCGTTTTATGGAGGCGCGAACTTGTCACTTAAAGGCAGTGACCACGATGGCAGGGGGCGGAGCGATGATGGTGACGTCGAGCGTGATTGGTGAAACCTCGTTGGGAGGTTGTCTCAACCACACCCATCAATGCGCTGTCAAGAATTATGCACCAATGATGTCCAACGCCTCATCGGAACAGCTCCACCCTCTAGCAATCGCGTTCAGTGCCTTTAACCTCGATTAGATCAAAAAGGCTGCTCAGCTGTAAACTGGGATTCTTTTTTGCGCGTCTTTGTTCTCAAAGGGATGACCAGCGCCAAATTTGCGCCACTAAAAACGAACAGTAATGCGTAATCATTTTCCAAATGCGCACCCAGGGAGGCCTGTAATAGAGGCCGCTTAAAAGTAGTTGACTTCTTCAGCAGTGGTGGTGGTGACAACTTCGTTTCGTCGTCGTTCGGTTCCCACTCGTGGATCAGCGCCGGGTAGGAAATCGTGCGATTGGGCGACTCGCGTCACTCGATCGTACGTGGCACGACCGGCATCGGAATCCGCGTCAGACTCCGAATCGTACTGAAAAATTAGCTTTGTCATGTTCATAGGGCTAAACCTGATAGGAGCGCTGTTTTAGGGCTCACTCACCGCTCCTTCTGTCCTCATATGTCCACCCATCGAAGCTCCTTGAACTCCAGAAGTGATGAGGCCGGAGCTGCCATGAAGAGACGCCGCTGTGGCTCCAGCAGCTGCGCTGGCCGATGACGCCTGACGGAAGTGGTCTGCCGATGTCACCGCGTACTGCTCGGTGTCCGTCTCAAACGGACCGTGCAACACCGTCTGGAATGGCTGAGCTTCACGATGAGGACATGTAATGGCTATCGGGTCATTGGGAGTTGACTGACCTGACTTTGGCTGACTACGTTGCCCATCTCATCGCGAACGGTCGTAGTACGAATCTCGCGGGTGGTGACATCTGTGGTGACTCTTCGTTCGATCTCTTCCAGAGAGCCGTCCGACGAGACCGAAGCTCCATCGTCCAAGTATGCGCCAAGAACGGCAGCATTGTCATGGCCCATCATCTCATCCTGAAAGCAGACACCATATTGTCCATTTTTAACGAGGAGTACTGCCGAAGAGCATACCGCATGGGCGCCCGGCTTCAGCTTGGCACGAGGAATGGTGTAGTAGTCGGAACCGAGTATTTCCCGGCCGCTTGCACTGCCTTCGCTGATGCCTCTTGCACCGAAGCAACTGAAAATCAAAGAATTACATGCCGTTCCAACAATGTGACAGTCAGACATCTTACCGGCACCGCGCGCAGAGGTACAAGCAGCAAAGCAGCGTGAGCAGGAGGAACAGTAGAGCCAGAATGGTCATCAAAATGAGGCCTGCATTTGACGGAGCAGCCTGCAATGGTAACATTGGTTGCAATGACTCTTTCAAGAAGGTGTCATTATTTTTAGCTCCATTCATACGTAAGCATTATCCACAAATAAAGAAACAAATAAGCAAATATTGGTAGCCACAAATGAACAACAGCATTGGCCACTATTCATTACAAAGGGATATTCCGTGAGTGCCTGAGTGTGGGCAAGGGGTAAGCGAGGCATCGGGGAAAACTCTAAGATACAAACTCCCCACCCCTACCTCCACCCCCTCCCCCAAGTAACAACTTTGCTCTGCCTACAGACGGTCTGTGAGGGGTGGTGATTGCTCCTGTGCAACGCATGTGTTGTCTTGAGCAGCCCTATCTACGGGGGAACACGTTCAAAACTGACCACGTATTCGGACGAGCACAGCCTTTTTTTCAGAGTGGCCAGTAGCTTCAAGCCATAAGTTCTTTGAAATCCGCTATTTCAGCGAAATTGATATGGTGTTGTAAGCTTGAAGATTAGCTCTATCCAACAGTTAAAAGTGGGTGGCTCCGTTGAAGATTTTCGCCCAAGTACCGTCAAGAGACTATCTCCCGAAGTCTTATATTCATTGCAGGGAATCGGTATTGTAGCGCATAGCATTGCTTGAACTCGTTCTGAACCGCGCCGTGCACTCGACATCCAGCTACATCCGGCACGAGTCGTGGTTCTCATCCTGTCCAGAACCCGCTACCGCTGCTCTGCTCATTTACAAACTCGGCACTCACCCCTCCCTCTCACTGGCCCTAACACGCCCCCTCAGCCGCTAATACGTAATGGGAGCTTGACCAATACGATCACAATCGAAAGAGTGCTGAAAGCTATGGTACGTATACCATGAAAAGCTGAGTTGGAATGAAATGGTGCCCCGGTAGCGTAACTGGTAGCGCACTTGCCCGGAAAGCGAGAGGTGCGGGTTCTAGTCCCGCCTGGGGCGAAAGTTTTGTTCACAACCCAGCATTCTTGTGAAACATCGAAAGCGTTTATCACGGGCAACTGAAAAATGAGAGGAAAATTGTACTTATTCCTTGAATGGACCCCTCATCCCATAGTTTAGCAATTATTGGCTCGATACCACAAACGCAGACCGCTATTCAACAAATACATAGCGGCGCGAAGCACAATAGTACTGCTCACATCTTAAGACTACTTCCATTCAAGGTCCGGGACCATAATTATCAGTGCGAGCAGATTCTTGAGTTACCCACGGGTGGGTCACCCTGATATCGCTGCAACTAGATGGTTGTCCAAGTGCTCGAGAAGTACCGCCTGTTTTGCGAATTTCCACAGAGCCGATCGATACCTCATCTGATCAATACCATTTTTGATCAAAATATTGATTACCTCGCAGAACTGTCCAGAATAGCCGTCGACACATGCGCAGGTGACATTGTTGGTGACACTGTCGTGAATACAGTCACCGTGGCCGTTGCACAGACCGCACAGCAACGCTGCACATACCCGGCCTGGCTTCCGATGGGTTACCATCGGTATAGCTTAAACGACGGAAAGTTTTATTCTAGAGGCCAGACAACAAAGGTATGTTCTCTGCGTCCCTGCCATGACAGCTTGCTATTGGTCTCTTCAACTCACCCATCAGGACACTTGCATTCGTAACCGTACTTCAGGTCTGTACAGATCGCTGCTGCACTGCAATTATGCAGTCCAAGGAGGCACTCATTCACATCCGTGTGTCGCATGCAGATCGCATCACCGAGGCCAGCCTGAAATAGCGCGCGTATCCCTTTTAGGTTCGGTATGAGGGTTACTCCTTCCGGGCTAAAAATAACCGAAGGCTCACCTCTGACAGTCTATCCGACTTGCGTAGATCGACAAAACCAGCGTTACAGTCGCATTTAGCCTGAAATTAAGCAGTTTATAAACCCCAAATTTTTCAGTGTAATTACAAAAATTACCTGGTCGCCGACATTTTTACAGGTCGAGTTCAATGGACAGTAGTGCACATCAGAGCAGTAGTCGATGGTACAAACGGAGCCGGGTACTGCTCCTTCGGGAGCCGCGTTCACATACGGAGATACACACTCACACCTGTGAAGTGGACAGAGTTACAGTATTCCGGGAAGGCAATCTTTGCAGGACTTACTTGTAAAGGTAATCCAGATCGATGCAACGTGCATCCGGAGAACATTCGTTCAGTTCTGGTTTCTCGCATTCGTTCACACCCACGTATGCGAGGCACTGTCGTCCCGGATGAGAAGGATTCAGATCCCGGTAGCCGTTCGGGCATTGGCAGCTAGAAAATTATCCAGTTAAAGCAATACCTCCAGATGGATTTTTTGGAGTCACACGGCCGATAATGGAGCTGTTTATGCTGAGTTGAGTGGAAACGAAAAAAAAGCAAAGGAAACCGTCGATGAAGCTTTAAAGAAAGCTTTCCCCTGAAAGAAGAAGGGGCGGAGCCGAAGAGTAGTGCGAACTTGGCTGCTTCACGGCTCAACCAACTCGCCCATATTTAAATTAGCCTCTCCCCCTCTGCTTCTTATAGGGTGTACGCGACGTAACTCGTCCAAATGCTAATATCAGTCGCCGGAAACTGGCTTTGTAAGAACCTAGCGCCTTTTGAACCGTCACAACGGCACATCTGTGACACTCGTAGGGCTACTCTATCCCACCGATGAACAGATTCTTCGACACAGCCAGTTTCTGCTGGCTTGAGCTAGGGTGCTGCCTGCGCCGTTTAAACAACTAGCTAGTACAAATCACTGAGCCACTACATGTGGTCCTGAATAGGAAAGCCCATTGGGGAATAAAGCCCATCTGAAGAGAAAAGTTCACCTGAATCCCTTTCCAAGAGGTGTACAGATAGCGTTTGCATGACAATCGCTCGAGTAGCAAGCGGTGAAAGGATTCATCTGATCCGGAGAAATGTACAGTTTGGATTGGCCAACCTGAAACAGGAAAAGATTGGTTCGTAACCTAAACTCGGAGGAGCAGTCACTCACTTCATAGTTGTTTTTCTTGATGATATAATCGACCAAATCGGTAAAGACCGACGATGGAGCACCGACGGCACCACGAACAAAGTGAGTTGTGAAGTTGTACAGTACACCGGAAATCCATGACTGAAAATAGGGGCTGATGGGATGACTTGAGCTTTGAAAGAAACAAGAATTGGACCAAAATAGCATGAATCAGTGAGCATCATTAATAGCAAGACCATGAAAATAGGAGGAATTCAAAGTCAGCATCGGAAGTCAAAATCGATAAAACTCCAGTTCGGGCACTCCATTGAGCTCTCCAATACTAAGGATAAGAATAAGGGTAGAGACGTAATCGATCTATTTGAAATTACTTCTGATAGGGATATAATGTGAAAGTACTCTTAATCATAAAGTGTTTTCTGATATCGGCCTCCTGTGATCCAAGAAAATGGTCCTGTGCTAGGGTGGGGGCACGCTTTCTTAAGCGGAAGGGTGTAGCAGCGCAGGGCGGAGTATGCCATAAACTGCCTAGAGCCTGAGCACGATGTGATGCAGGGCATACACCGGCCCTTATTAAAAGTGCACGAAATGGGTCGCTTACCTATTATCTTA